TACTGCACTGAGCTCCAGGGCTTTGACTGGATCCTTCAGATCCTCAGTGTACAGACAGACCTTTTGCACTCTTCCACACCTGACTCTGGGCAGCCATTGTAAGCCAATCATGTAAATTGCTATGTATTTGTATATCTTATATTAAATCACTGACTGATACAGCAAGTGACTCAGGGGTCCTCTTTCTTTTTATTCTGGAATGTAATTTTTGAGTTTTGTGATGTTGCTTTTATTGTTGTTTTTTCTTTTTTTTGGTACTGGGGATCAAACCTGGGTCCTTGTGCTTGTGCAGCAGGCGGCGAAACCACTGAGCTAAACCCCCAGCCCAGTGATGTTGCTTTTATGTGTCATCCTCATGTCTGTGGCATGGTCTAACGTATTTGATCAATGTAGGGTTTTTGTGGCTATTTGAAGTCATGAGGTCTAAGTGTATATTCTGGGAGTGCGGGAAGTTCATCATGTGCGTTTACAAAAAGGTTGTATAGATTGTGTGTGGGTTTAGGAATTGTGCAGTATGTGCATTTTAGAGTTGTCGTATTTTGTACAGGTCTTTTATAGATGGTACATGAGAAAATAGTTTGTATTATTGTTCCTAGAGTCTGTGTGTATAGTTTTCATTTTTATCATAGGGGCAGTGTATTTATTGCTCACAATTGTATTTATGTACATATTGTATTTGTACACATAGTTGGAGTGCTATGGTGACATTTAGGGTGAGTGGTACTTACTTCTGTAAAATTTACATAGTGACAGGTAGCCAGTGTGTTCAGAGTGCAGGCAGCGGTTGTACACATGTGTTTGGGCATGTCAGTTCTGGAGACATACAGTGTGACTTTTATTGTATATTTGGGGTTGGGTTAAGGATCCTACTTTGGGACAGGTGAATTGTGTGCTCACATCTGTGTGAAAGAATATGGATGTGCTGAAGCTCAGTAGTACTGGCTTGGATACATGATGATAGAAACATCTCCACAGCTGTATGTTTGGTGGTATCAGATTGATAGGTTTATATGAACCATGTTGAGATATTTATACCACTTAAACACCCTGGATCGAGTCTTTTCTACCTGCTCCTGCATATCTGTGGAGTGTATGTGTGTGTGTGTGTGTGTGTGTGTGTATGTGTGTGTTTTCAGTATGTGTGAACAGATGTTTCTGTGAAGTAAGAATATTCAGGTGAAAATTAGTACATATATTGAACTCTAAGGGAATTGGAAATGGGACATTGAGAACTATGTAGGCTAATGGGTGTGAACTGACCTTGGCCATTCTGAGCCATTGCACTGATCCTATATAGGACTGTTCATTATTTCGGGCCAGAAAATCCCCATAAATGTTGACTTCCAGCTCTTTTTTGTGAGGATGAATATTGGAGTATGTGTACTTTAGACAGATAGATGCTACTACATTTCTTTAGTTCTGGCATGTGTCTCCTAGGATACCTGGGCCTGACAGACAGCCACAGAGAGCAGAACTAATGCCTCTGCAGTGGATAGCTGTCAGAAAGTGGGGTTTCCTGGAGAAGTTACATGGGCCAAGTCCTTTGCCATGCAAATCCCTTTGAGGATCATTTGGGCAAGCTCAGGTGATGATAGTTTCCCTGTGGTGCAGCTGATAGAAAGGACAACCCTCCCCCATGGGGTCCAGCTGTTGAAAGCCAGAAGAACCTGTGCTTTTACTACTGTCTGCCTTCTGGCTAGTGGGTACTGCTGGGTATCATTGACCCATTTTTATTTCATTTTTGTGTGGGATGGAAGATCTATGTCTAGATTTTAAAAAAAATTATATCTCTTTCTCTCCACATTATTCATCTGCCCTTCTTTTTTCCATTAGTGCCTTTTGTAGTCCTATGATTAGGCCCTGCCTTTTGGTTAGACTGTGCCCCAGGTCTGTGAATGTCACCTGTGCTTCTCAGTCCCCAGCCCCTCAGGAGGTAGGGTGGCTTGATCAGATTCTCAAGGTCCTGGAAATAAAACTTGGGAAAGTGGGAGCCCTCCTATGAGTGTTCCCCCTCTCCTAGCCTCTTTAACTCACATCCCTACTGACCCTTGAGCAATGCCAGCCACAGTTTAGGGTTTCCTAACCTCATAACCAAAAGGACTTACCCTGGGAATACAATGGCTCATCCATAGAGGGATCCATTTAGGAATTTTATTAATAAAACGCTAGGGCTGGGGATTTAGCTCAGTGGTTCTGCCGCTTGTCTTGCAAGCTCAAGGACCCGAGTTCGATCCCCAGTACCAAAAAAATAAATAAATAAATAAAAAGCTCATATTGATAGACCAGTCCATCTTAATAAATTCCTCTGAAAAAGAAGACAGTGGATAAAATTTATTGCTTATAATTGTTGTATAAACAAACCAAGAAATTCAGGATAAAATTCATCCTATAAATCAAATAGAATATATATACTAGAAATTTGCAGTAGACATAAAATGTGTACTAGAGATAGTACTATGATTCCTCTTAAATCCACCTGAGCTAAACCAAGTTCTCCATTTCAGTTACTTGTATATTTTTTATTTCTAGAATATTTGTTCTATTTTTAAATACAGTGTTTTTTGTATTCTGCCAAAGGCCTCAATCTTATTTTTAATGCCTCCAACATAATAATTTATTTTGATGCCTGTGGTTGATAAATTCATTATGAGTGTTCTGTGGATCTCTGCTATGTTCGCTCATTTTTCCTCTTGCCAGGTAAAATTTTCTCTTCTTAAATTCCTGATTATTTTTGAGTGGCTAGCAAATACTGTGATTAAAACGTATAGGGTTAATTCCAAGCTCTTGATGATGGAATCTTTCTGCAGAGACTTTGCCTCTATCAGAAATATGGAAAGAGAGAATTATCACTCTTGGATCACTTTAATCCTCTGAGGGGACCAGGGATTGAGACTATTTGAATCCTGTGAGAGGGCCATTTCCAGCTCATTCTCACTCTTGGGCCAGAAACAGTAAACTGTTATCCAAGGTCTCTCTTGCTTAGAAGTTTCTTAAAAGCATGAGCCTTCAAAGGGGTTAGATTTGGTGCTATGTCATCCCACTTCCAGCTCAGGAAGTAGTGTAGGAATACTGATGAATCTCTCAATGAACTGAGCTAGTCCCCTGATTCTTCATGGTCTTTGTGTGATAGATCTTCCTTCTGGCTTGGAGCTACACCCCCAAACAGAAGTATATAAAAATCACACAGGTAGACTGAAATTTCCTTGTAGACGTATTTCAAAAAATATAGCAAGAAATGGGTGAAATTAACTGTAATAGTGTACAGATGCTCCTTGACTACCATGGGGTTATGTCCTGATAAATCCATCATAAACTGAATATATCAAAAATTGAAAATGCCTTAATACACCTAACCTACAAAACATCTTGCTCAGCAGCACAGTAACCTGTGGAGTAGTGGTTGTTTGTCCTGGTGATTGTGGGGCTGACTGGGAGGTGTGGCTCATTGCTACTACTACCCAATAGTGTGAGAGAATCCTACTACGTATTGCCCTCCCAGGTAAAGATCAGAATTCAAAATTTGGAGCATGGTTTCTATTAAGTACATACCACTTTTTACTATCATAAAGTCAAAAAATCAAAAATAGCACCATTGTAAGTTGGTGACTGTCTTAGTTACTGTTCTTGTTGCTGAGACAAAATACCGAAAATTAAAGAAGGAAAGGTTTATTGTAGCTCACAGTTTGAAGAGGTTTCAGTCCATAGTCAGCTGTCTCCAAGGCAGGGTGGTGTGATAGAGGGCCATCTCAGAAGAGAAACAGTTCATGGCAAAGCAGGGCAGGCAGAAGGCAGCAAGCAGTAACAAGGAAGCGAAACAGCAAGCTAAAAAAGCAGCCCTCTTTCTGTCCCTTATATTCTATCCAGTCTACATCCCTTTGGGTGGCACTCACACCTAGGGTGGGCCTGGCCATTATCTACACTCAGAACTATGCCAAACTGATCAGTGGACTAATCTAATAATCACACACCCTTAATCCTAGCAGCACATGCTCTAGATCCAACCACCTCTGAAAATCCCCACCTATGACCCGAGCGTATGAAGCTTGGCGGGGCAGGGGGGGTCATCTAGACATAAGCCATAATGGGGACTGTTTGTATTTTTTTTAACCCAGCATATCCAAAGTATTATTTCAGTATATAAGCAATATGTACTGATGAGATTTTTTTAAAAAAACTTTTCCTCAGAATCACATGATTTTAAAATCACAGCACATCCTTAGTTGGCCCTAGTCATCTGTGACTAGTGGTAATGTATCAGAACATTGTTGCATGAGCTAAATACTAAAGCAAGAAGCTGTACCAACAGTATGGGACCTGGCAGGAGTTTGTGAAAGCAAAATAGTCAGAACTGGCCCATCAGCCACCTGCAGGGTGGCAGAGGAGAGAGGAATTCTTCAGAAAGCTGACATTGTGCTGCTGTCCATCATTAATGAGAATGAACAAGGCATTCAGTCACCTTTCCCCTGAGAAGGGGTTTGGGAGGCCACTGAGAGAGGTGAGCATGTCTCTCTTGGGACTAGAGAGCCATGAGATGTTTCCTGAGACTTATCTGGAATAACCCCCTGGTCAGAGATGGTGACAGAGGCTCCCTTGTCTCATGAAAAGACAAAGATGTCAACTTTTAGAGCAAATACTTTCACTTGACTTTGAGGCTGACGAGCAGAGAGGAGATAGAGAGAAGGGGCCCACCCACACTTTTCCCTTGCTGCATTCTGGTCCTGAAACATGCCTGGGATGGCAAACAGGACAATTTTAAAGTATAAGGATATCTGGAGTTTAATAATTACTTGGATGGACCAATGCAGTTACTGAGATGAGACTGTTCCTATGATGAAAAGGTACCCAAAACCACAGAACCTACCTGAGATATTAACTGAGAGCTAAGTGGAGAAGGAACAGGTTCAGAGTAAGTTTCCCTGTAGAAATAAGACATACTAAAGCTTTTCTTGGATTTCCCTGACCGAGTCTTGTTCATTCATTTCACTGGTTTCGTGGCAAAGGTTTGGCTTCATCTTCTTCTGGCCTCAGATCGGGATCAGAATGCTGAGAGAAACTGTGGATCAGAGAAGGTGAGAAGCTCATGTTGCAGAAAAGAGTTGCTTCCCAAGGGTCACACTCTTGACCAGTGGGGAGGGACCTCTGTGGCATCCAGTGAGCAGAGATGCCCCTGCCCCTCAGTGGGCTGGTCCACAAGTGCTCAGGGACCAGCCATGTTCTCATAGGTCAAGCCCTAGGGGCACTCAGGAGCTCCCAGCCTTTAGAAGTCACTCTCTGGGCTGTAGAGCCTTCTCTTGGCTCTTGACAAGGTAGAAGGTGATAGGAGGCTTAGAGAGAAATAAACAGTAGCCTCAGTGCAAAAGTTAAGATTTCCTCTTTCATTTATTAGTGAGAGATGATTTAAACTGGCAGAGATTAGAGAATTTTCCTTTCATTTGACTGCCCCCCCAAAATAAAGCATGCTCTTCCCTCCAAACCAAGCTCCATCACCAAGAATCCAGAGAAAGATGCTATCAGCTATCTAAAATAAAGAATGCTGCATGTATAGACTCAAAATGTGTTACATTTTATTTTAAAAAGCCAACATTTTTGAAGAGATAATGATACTTAGTGTTTCTAAAAGAAAAAATAAGGCTAATCTTTGCAACAGAAGAAGTGAGAAAAGGCAGATAATTAGAAAAACATGAACCATGAAAGAAGAATCCATAAAAACATACAATTTTGGACACAGGCAGTATCTTACAGATTGCTTGGGCTCCTTTTTAGGTCTTGGTGAAAAAATTCACTTAAATAATTGCAGAATGTCACAATTAGCAGGTAAAGAATCCAGAAGAACACAAGGAAGCTTGGCTTGTAATTTAGAAATTTCCTTTGTTTTTATTTTTGTTTTTTCACCACCAAACTATGCTGTTATTTTCCTCCAAGAAATTATCCTTTATTGCTACTTTTTTCTTGCCTTTTTTGTCCCTCAAAGACAGTTCAATGCTATATATTGGGATTTGGGCCTTTCCTCCCTTTCTCAGTTCACTCTGGAGCAGACTGTATTTTCAAAGACAGAATCAACAACTGTTAGGGATGGAAGGTTGGTACTGTCCCTCACCTGACTGAGTTCATGTATTTGAATCCAAATTTCTAGTATGGCTTTATTTGGAGTGGGGCCTTCTAAGGAAGTAATTAAGGTTAACTTAGGTTATAAGAGTGGGCTCTGATCTGATAGCTCTATGTCCTTATTTAAAAAAAAGTTTCTCTCTCTCTGTTCTTCTAACTTTACCTGGAACTCTACCTCCCTCTATCTCTCTATACCTATTAGAATCAAAATTGGACTTGAAGCCCCCAGAACTATGAGAAATAAATTTCTGTTTCTTATTCTCCAAGCCCCTGATGTTCTGTTATGATAGGGTTACTGAATTAGTGCATACTGTATCCTACATGTTCTTCTTCACCATGTCTTCATGACTGTCCTACTCCTCATTAGAATTGAAGTGTAACTGCCCCTGTGAAGTTGGCTGGCCTCAGAACATGGTCAGAAAAAGTATGCACTCCCATGTGGTTCTCCTAGGTCACTTGCTCTGCAGACATTTCCTCTTGAAATGCACCTTCTTGGTGCCAAGCTTCCAGGCTGTGAGAAGCCCATAGCACACAGAGAGGCCATGAATAGGCACAAAGCTCTGTGGAGTCCAGTCTTAAGTCATTCCATGTGAGTAAGATACTTCCAGATGGTTCCAACTTCCAGCTGGCAGAGTTTCAGGTGTTTCCAGCTGAAGCCCTGGACGTGTGTCTGAAGTCATCTCTGCTACATGTCTGAACTCCTGACTACAGGATCTGGGAGTATACTAAAATTTTTGCTGGTGTCATTAAATAGAGGATTTTATTTCTGTGCATCAATGATAACTGGAACATAAAATTTATTTCAGTAAAATTTTCTCAGTGGTTGTTATCTTCCTGACCCTACAGATTCTACCATTGCTGACGTGAGATGGAGCGAGAGCCAAGATGAACATGGGAAAGAAAACGTCCCATGGATGAGATAATGACAACTTTTGACCTAGAGAGCCTAGACTTTTTTATGTTGCTTCTCCCAACTTTATTCTCAATGATGAAAGATTCCAAGTTTAACCACAAGTGACTTTAACCACAAGTGTCTCTGTGTTTCTAACTTTGGTTATGTTCAAGATTATGTTTAATAATCATGACCATTTTAAAAGCTGAAACTGTCAAATGTTCAGTCCTTCAGACTAATTATTTTGTTCAGTGAGACTATCCCAAGTAGTTTAATCTCACTACATGGGAGCCAGAGAGCTGCTAGGGAGGGAAGACATCAAGTGGAAAATAGGAAAAGCAAAAGCCAGTTTGGTCTCCCATTAGAAGAAGACAGCCAGGGCTCAAAAGCACACTTGCTACTACATAGTACTTTATTATCCACACGGGAAGTAATGCTATTAACACTGCAACAACACACACACACATCCTGTGTGATTCCATTCACGTACAGTCTTAGGAAATGGAAGCAAATGTACAGTGACTGAAAGCATATTAGTAAATCTGTGTCTGGGGTGGGGAGGGCCAGGCCTGGAAGAAGGGGTACAAAGGAGCACCGGAGGCTTTGGGGGGTGATAGGCAATTTTTAATCTTACTTATGGTAATGGTTTCCCAGCTATACACGTGTCAGAACTTTTCCAGTTGTCCCTTTTAAATACACAGTTTATTGTTTCCCAGTTGCATCTCTATAAGTGATAAAGAAAATCTGCATCAAATCCAAGATTGTATCACTGGATGTTATGCTGGAGTCTTTCTGTAAAAGAAATAAAAATATTGCAGAAACATTGCTTTTTTTTCAGTCTCTTCCCTGTTTTTCTCTTTTCCAATGCCATTTCCTAAAAGTAAGCCCTGTCAAGATATTAGGGCACATCCTTTGCACATTTTTATGCATATCCCATGTGTGCATTACATTTACTTTCTTCTGTGAGTTTAGAATATTTCCACAAATACTATGATATTGGGAAATTACCTAATTTGTGATTTTCTGCCTGCTATACCAGCTACCAACATTGGCTGCTCAAGTTATGACTACTGTTTCTTACATGCCATGAATCTCCCTCTGCCAGATTCCTTTTTTGTTTGTTTTTGCTAAAGCATATTTTTAAGAAATCTTAGATATTTCTATGCAGCTACAGAAAGGTATACAGATGAGAGACAAACTTTCCAATCCCACCCGGAATGTCCAAAAGTGTCTCTTTTTTGTTTTTCACTTCTATTTGATCAGTAGCTTGAATGAGAATAGAATTTAAGGCCCTAAATCTTTTTCTAAGGACATTTTCTACTACCAGCCCTGTTTTTCCATTGTAAGTAATGTACATTTTTCTTTTAGAAATTTTAATAACTTTGATTAACTCCAGATTGTCTAAAATTGCTTTAGGATGTGTCTATAATAATTAAAATAATTAACTTATATTCTCCTTTTCTTTTATTGACTCCTAATAAAGAAGATAGCGTATCTAGATTGTTTTGTGTCTTTATTTTTTTTTGTCACATTTCTGTGTACTGGGAAATTTCCTAATTTTTTAAATTAGTTCCATTGAATTGTTTCTAAAGGCATGAAGTTTTTAAGTCCATGAGCTGATTCTATTTTTCTGTATTTTTCCTTTGGAAGAGTAATCTTTTTTTTTTATTACTACATGTTTGTGGTTCATAATGTTTGCCTTCACTGTGGGGAGTTTGTATATGTACAAAATACATCTTAATTCCTCTGTTTAACCACCTTCCCCTTTCCTCTCCCCGCCTCCATCCATCTCTTGTTTCTTTCTTTTTCTTTTTTTAACGTATTTGTAGTACATAATGTTTACATGCTTTGTGTGGAGTTGGTACATGTACATAACACATCTTAATTCTTTTTTTAATCTCTCCCCTATTCCCTATCTCTTGATTGCCTTAACCTTTAAGAAAGATCTACCTACCTATTGCCTATTATCTATTTTTAATTTTGCTCTTTATTTATACTTGAGGTTCCTCCAGTAAGAGAAACTGTGCAATGTATGGGTAGTCTGTTTTTAATTTATGGATATCATATCTTCTTGAATTCTGAGCAGAGATTTAAATATACCTTTTATTTTCTCTAGATTATCTTTTTTGTTTGTTTGTTTGTTTGTTTGTTTGTTGTGAGGCAGAGTCTCTCTATGTTGCCCAGGCTGCTCTTGAACTCCTGGCTTAGGCAATGCTCCTACTTTAGCCTCCTGAGTACTGGGATGACAGGTATACACCATGACTACCAGCTGCTGCATCACCTTTATTTATTCTGGGGTCAGTACTATTTGTTCATGCTGTCCCTTAGCCTGTTCTTTTCTCTCTTTTTTCTTTCAATTTTTTTGAATTTTGTGTTTACAAATAAAGCATAGAATTGATTCATCAGGACAGTTCACAAGGATTTATTCTACCATTATGCTCATTTTTATCTTCTCCTAGGATGTGAGGACATCTTGCAAGCTCTAGAATAGGTGAGATATTTTAGGTGAAATACTCAAGTCTTTTAAAGATATACATAATGCTGAGGGAAATTGTCAGCATCCACAAGCCTGAGATGCCAAAATATTGGCCTGTCTCAGGACATCTGTTATTTTAGGAGGCCTAGCTCCTCCTAAGCAGGTATTTCTACATTCAGTCAAGGAGTAGCTACAGGTTCTAGGGAAGAAAGGTGGAAAGGCCTACCATGACACCAACCCTGTTCTCAGAATTGCTGTGAACTTTCTGTCTTTTATACATTTCGAACTCAGGATCAGGACCCCCCCCCCCGCCCCGCCTTGCCAAACTATCTGCACTAAAATCAGCTCTTGTGTCTGTCTTTAGGAAATCCAAACTCAGATAGTTGTCTGAATTCAACACTTGATCTTGGAATCCAGAGATTTTCTCTCATCAGTTCATCAGCTCTCCTTGTGTATATTTTACATCTCACTTTGTACATTTACAGGAAAATAGAGTATATAAACTTCAGTGCTGCCAGAAGCCAAGTGGGCACATTGTAACATGTTTTAATGGAAGTTTTGCCGGACTGTGTTTCATTCTTTCTTCTGTGTCTTCTTTCACACATCCCAACTCTGCTCTCCAACACAGACCCAGAAGAAATATAATTCAACAGTTGCATGAAGTTCACTTACAGTTGACTTCTAGGCAACTCTGATTTTTATAAACAGCTTCTCTTCTAAGGCTCAATAACGAGATAATGAAATGGTGTACATCATATTATTTATCAAATATTCAAATAATGAGTGGCTAATTATCTATGTAGTGTCTAGCCCTTCAGAAGATTAAAAAAATCCATAATCTCAGTCCATCTCATCCAAAGATTATATTCTGGTGAGAAGGCCTATGCACAATAACTATGACATTTGAGATTATACACAGGGACCCCCATATAGAGAGAGCTCACTGTACAGTGAAATGTGCTTGGGAACCCTACATGGAGTTCACATTTCTCAGATATGGCTCCACAAATTAATGGAAATCATTCCTACCACCAGCTCTAATGAGACAGACAATTCTAAAATACAGTGGTGGTGCACGCCTATAGTCCCAGCCCTCAGGAGGCAGAGGCAGGACGATCACCATGAGTTTGAGGTGAGCCTGAACTCTACATAGCAAGACCTTGTCTCAAAAAAGCAAGTACATACATACATACATGCATACATAATGGAAAAACTTGAGCTACTCCCAAGAAGAGCCTTTCTGAAAGAGTGCTGCATTTTCTTGATAAATCACGTGCATTACTAATATGAGTCAGGGAAGGAATGAGTTGGCAAAAAATAAGGCAGCAAAGAGAGCTGGATTTTTCTTCTAAGAACATGGGAATTTTAAATATGTATTTTAGTTTTATTTATTAGTACTGAGATGTTGGGGACAGAGAACAGAAATGAATAGGAAAGACAGGACATTGGTCCAGAGGCAAAAGTTTCTGTTGCCTGAAGATGGAAAAGATCATTATTTTATAAGGAGCACAGATGTGTAATATTTAGTTTAAAGTTGTTTGTAAATTATGCTGGTTGCAGTAGTGAAGGTTGGAGTCAGCTTGTACTGGGTCACAAGAGCCAACTGTTAAGTTGCCAGGAATTTTACAAGCTGGTCTTTAAACAATAGTTATTCAAGATTAAATGGGAAAACTCACAGTTAAATCAGATTAAAAATAAAAAACCAAAAATTCAAAACTTATCAGGTCCTAATCATTTTGCCACACTACATCTATTCTCTTGAGGTTACTAAAGTACTAGAAATACTATATGTTATAACAAAACACCATGCCATAACGTTGCAGACACTGATCTCTTCCCAACTTTGCTCAGTGATGTCATGCTGATAACTTGGAGTATGGCATCACAAGATTTGGCAGAGGCCAATACCAGGTGTTTTTGTCTGGAGAGAACGTCATTAAATGTTCACCAGGACACCCCTGGGTCAAGGGGAGGGTGCCTGCATGTGGCTGCTTGAAATTTTAGCTCAGTCAGTTATGAGCTCCATGACCTGGGCATGTACTAAGTGAATCAAAGTACATGGAGCACTTAGAACATTACCTGCTACAGTAGTCCTCCCTTATCTGCAATTTCACTCTTTATAATTTTACTTATTCATGGTCCAAAAATACTAAATTGAAAATTCCAAATATAAGCAATTTATCAGTTCTTGATTGTTCTCTATTCTGAGTAGCATGATGAAATCTCACATCATCCTGCTCTGCCCCACCTACATAATAAATTTTCCTGTTGTGCAAAATATCTATGCTATGTGTGCTACCTGCCCATTAGTCACCTAGCAGTGGTTTTAGTTACCAGATCAGCTGTCACAGTATCACAAGGCTTGTGCTCAAGTAATCCTATTTCACTCTGTATTGAACCCAAGGAGCAACAAGAGTGATGCTGTAAATTTAATTTGCCAAGAAGAAGCTGTAAAGTACTTCCCTTATGTGAGAAAGTGAAAGTTCTTAACATTAAAAGTGAAAGAAAGACTATGCTGAAGTTGATGAGATTGATGGTAATGAAACATGGTTTATGTAGGGTTCAGTACTACTTGCGGTTTCAGCCATCCATTGGGGGTTTTGGAATGAATGCCCACAGATAAAGGACTGCTGTTAAAGATTATGCTGTTGCTGTTTTTACATTGATTTATATAATAAAAATAATAAATACACATCTCCTATATAAATGTCAGACATCTTCCAAAACACTCATGAACACACAA